TCATTTATCAATAAATTATAATAACTATAATTTTTAAGTTCATTGAAAGATGATGAAAGTATAAATTAGTTTTTATTGCATTACTTCAACAATTTTTCATGTGGACTATTATTTTCTTTAAATTAAAAACTTTTCAACCATTGATAATCACCCTCATATCTTTGGTTTCTCAAAGAAGTAATAAGAATAAACCAAAAATAGGAAGTCCAATAAATTATGAAAGAAAAAACAAAGAAATAGTCAATTGTCATTCACATGGGATTAAAACAATCAGGGTTTATTGAAAAAGTTAACTTAATGACGGGAGAGAATTTTATACTTACAATAGTAGTGTTTATAGCACTTGGGTTGATGTCATTTGTTATTGAAAAAATAACTGAAAAGATTGAACATCACTTTAGTAAGAAAGAACATATATTGTCGTTAATTCAACATTTATATCATGAGTTAATGAATTTAGGTATTGTTTCATTTTGTTTTGTATTATTTGATATTGCAGGACTATATGGATATATTGCTCATAATTTTGAGAAGTATAATAAAAGAGAAGCAGATGTTTTTGGCATATTTGAAGTAGTACATATTACATTATTTGCAATAGCAGTTTTTTTGATCGTTATTGGATCATTTGTAATTTTTATATCATGGATATATCACAAAATCTGGAAATATTATGAACGTTTTGGATATCAAAATTCAGAAGAAAATTTTCTTCATAAAATGCAACAATTAAAAAATAATAAATGGAATTATCTTAATATTGTTTATTGGATTAAATTTGAATTTGCTTTAAGAAGGTATCAATTTAATATTATGAAAGAAGAATTTATTATTATGGAAGGTTTACCAACATCATTCAATTTTGCTCGCTATAGTATTAGTTGTTTCAGAAGATTAGCTTGTCATCACATTCATGTTTCAGGTAAAATTTGGTTATATGCTATTACACTAGAAGTGGCAATGACATCAACATTACATTTAAAGAATCCAAATATTGGATCAGCAATTCTTCATTGTATTGGTTACTTTTCTTTATTTGTTTGTATTATTGTAACATTAAAGTGTAGAAGTGTAGTGAGCCAGTTAGTTAAATTACATCACTCAACAGTAAATCTTCCAGTAGTTAATTTTCTTGATGATTATCGTAATTATCCTTCAAACTCAGAAAAAACACAAGAACATTCTGAAAGTTATTCTATTTCAGAAGATTATAGTGATATGAGAAGATCTTTACAATTACAAGGAAGAAAAATTTCATTAAACTATGGGATTAGAGATGTTCCTCCACCTCAACGACCAAAACCACCAACAGGAATTAAAGGTTTATTACATAAATATTTTGGGTGGGTCCCATGTTATAACTCTCCATATCATACAACCGTTGAACGTTTATTATGGTTTAATTCTCATGGATTTTTACATTTAGTAATGAAATGCATTTCCATTACACAAGCGATCTATATTGTATTATATATTTTATTTTATTCAAGGTCTAGTGTATATACATGGGAACATATTCTTATTATTATCCCACCTATTTTTGTTTTATTTATTTTGATTCCACTTAGTTTATCATCAATGACATTAATTCGATATGTAGATAAAGACAGATTGGATGATGTTGTAAAATCAATTATTTTCCAATCAATTTCAAATAAATTTAATAAACGCCATTTATTTAGAGCAGTTGCTTCAAGAGAAAAAGATAAAATGAATGTTCCAGATAAAGAAATGGTTGATGTATTTAAAAATAGATATCTTGCAACTAACAGTACACATAATATTGAACAACTTACTATTTTAAGTGAAATTTTAGGAACTATGACTGAAGGTGTTGATAAGAAGAAAGGTTTAAATATAAGAAAATTTGGTGATATTACAATGATTAATTCTGCTTCTGGAGATGTTATTATTAGAGGAGCTGATCCAAATATGTTAGAAGAAGTGCTTAAAGATGCAAGGAAATATCAAAAGAAAGAATCAAATGAACAAGTAGAAATGGAGTCTGGTCCTGTTGCTATTAATGATGTCTATTCAAAACAAATAAATGGTAGTATAGAAAAAGAAGAGGCAATTGTCCAACCAACAGAAACAAAAGATGTTATTGATAATTCATCAGTTCAAATAGACCGAAACAATAAAATACCTATCTATAATGAACATACAGAAATAGAAATGAAAGAAAGTATTCCAAGAGTTATTTTAAGTGATTCTTGCAAAACAAATCAAAGTACTGGAACAGATTCTTCTTCTTCAAGTCAGATCTTAACTTCTTCAAGTTCTGAAGATGATGGTGATAATGATAAGACAGAACAACAAACAATTCCAAAACAACCTAAAGATTATATTTTAGTTCAAAAAATAGCTCAACCAACAACTCATTCAGTGTTAAATGTAGATGATGTAGAAATACTTGATATGAGTGATGAAGCATAATATTTAAATGAATTCAATTAGTTGATTGTTGTTTTTTGTAAATAAGAACGAGAGGCAAGAGGTGTGGTTGATAAATCAAATGGTGTCCATGGACATCCAACAGCATCTCTAATAACATCTTTCAATCTTTGTTCTTTTAATTCAGGAAGTGAAAAATCATAAAATTCTACACGTTGTTGATTAACATTTCTACTTAACAATGAAATAGTACCAGAAGGAATTTCTTTTGGATTAAGTTTGTCATAATTTGTTAATAAATTAACTAATTTTTCATCAGTTAAATGTGGACAAATTTCACTTCTAGCATCATCAACTAATAAATTTTTTTGATTTAAAACAAGTACTCTCCCAATTTCTTTTATAATAATTAAATTATCTTTCAATACTAATAAATTCTTTAATTTATATTCAAAATCAGATACTATTCCAAGAAGCATTTGTATTTGAATTCCCATCATTAATGTACAATGATCTTTTATAATCTCTTCATAAAAAGATATATTTAATACTTTAAACATATCATTAAGAATAAGTGCCTTGAAAGGACCACTAATTCTAAATTCACAAACTAAATTAACAATACTATTAAGCTCTTGTATTATTGGTTTATCTGAACAATTTTGATTTAATGACGTTTCCCAGGCTTTATGAAATTTTAAGTTTATTATTTCAAATAATCGAGTATAACATTTAGACCCAATCTTTTGTATATCTTCATTAAATTGAACTAATGATTCGATCCTTTGTTTTTTTCCTAATGTTTCATATAATGCGATTAATCTACTAATAGAAGAAAATAGATAAACACATAATTTTAAAGGTAGAATATCAGCAATAACAAATGACTGTAACTGTGTACAAATAATTTCAGGTAATCCAGAATTTGAAATAAATTTTTCTATTGGCATAGAAGAATAAATTATTTGTGTTAACAATGTATTATCTGTACTTTTGCATTGTTCTTCTAATTCCATAAAAGAAGAATGTCTTCCAATATCTTTAATTAATAACTCTTCTTCTCCACTTAATACCTCAACAGTATTTCTTCTTGACGTATTAACTTTTAACTCTCTTGTTGAACTTTCTCTTAATGGAATATCTCGTTTTATTTGTCTAAAACTACTTTGTCTTACAATGCTACTACTTCCTATTGTTGGTTGATCTAAAGCAGAACGAATTTGTGAAGCATCTGCTGTTGCTCTATGTATTCTATCAATTGATCTTATCGTTCGATGAGATATAATAGGATCTCCATTTGATTCCTTATTAAGAGTATTAGAAACTGATTGAGTTTGTTTAGTATTTTCAAATTCAAAAGACTTTGTGAGATCTAATGATGTTTTAGAAGAAGGAATTTTACTAACAGAAATTGTGCCTTGACAAATTTTTCTTTTAGGAGTGTTACAACTTGAAGATGTAGGGATTTTACTTGAAGAAGTATTTGGACTACCCATTATTCTTGTTTTTTGCTTACTAATTTTAGGAGTTGAAAAAATACGATCTCCAAATAAAAGAAGTAATTTGACTGTTAAAATCTCTTTTCCAATATTTAATAATTTATTTACTGTTTGTTCTCCTATAGATACTTTATCATTAAAATAATCTGAAAGATTAATTGTTTCACTTCCAAGTGTCATATTTCTTGATATAATATTTAGTTTAAGTATTTTCGGTTTTAAATGACCTTTTGAATATTGAAACGTTGAAACGAAACTAAACTCTTCATTAATTTCTTCTCCTATAGAAAAAACTTTAGTTGTACCATTATTATCTCCTCGTTCCCAACTAATCTTAATATTTCCAATTTCAGTTTTTTCGTTTTGACTCACTACACTTATTAACCGAACTTGAACTCTAGACTTTTCATCATGGGATTTCATTGATATCTCAATTCTTTAAAGATTACTTTTGAAGTTCTTTTTTTCCCCATTATTATTCTTTCTATTTTATTTTTCATAATAGTTTTATTATAGTTTAAAATATTTTTCAATCTTTTGTCGAACTTGTTTTGTGAAAAATGTGAAAATAAGTTATTTTTAAATAACACAAACGAGAAATAGTGATTTAATGTTTAGAAGTTTAATTAGTATAACAAGCTTTTGAAATTGTTCCCAACAAAAGTTTTTATTTCCTCTAGAATTGATGAGATTTAATCATTTCTTATGTTACAAAAATATCATTAATGAAAAGATAATATAAAAACAAACGATAAACATTTGCTATTGTGCTATTAGGATTTAAAGTAATAATTATTTCTAATAATTTATTATCAGCACAAATATAAGCAGTCCATTTTCCATTATCTCCTTTAATATATATTTCTTTTGCTCCTTCTTTAATAACCTCTAAATGATTTAACATCTTTACTACTTCTGGTTTATCAAATATTGATAATCCTCCATTCTTAACACTCGTAGACATGTTATAATAATAAAACATAATTGGTCTATTCACTAATTCTTTTGGTACTTTTGGAAGTCCATCAGAAAATGTTGATGACCAGAGACCTTCAAATAAATCAGTTAATCCACTATTTAAAAACAAAAGAAATGTTGATATAGACTGTTCATTTGTAGTATCCAAAAAGAAGTGGAAAAAGAATAATTTGTGTTCAAAAACAACCCATTTTCTTTCTTGTCCATCAATGAAAACTGAACAATTTAATATATCTCTTGTTGCTGCTAAACTACTTTTACTTCTTGAACGTTCTTCAGGAATTCCAAAAACAATTCTTCTTTCATCATTTGCAGTTCGAATTCCATTAAACTTATTTCCAAAATCTATACTTCCATTTCTTAATACATTAAATAAATTAAAAATATTGTTTTGCATTGAGTAATCAAAATTAGTATGGACTAACTGTGTACTAAATAACATTTAATTGTTTATTTTTATTTATTCTAAAAAGAAGTATTAAACAAACTTTTGGAATAGTGCATACTCTTTTACACATTTAAACTGAGTTCCTACATCATTCATCAAATTAATTAATTGTGTAATTTGATTTTTAGACATTGAAGCATATTGAATTCCTGTTAATCTTCCTGGAGATGCTAAAATATCATTTGAAACAGTATACATAATAGGATCAAAAAACTTTTTTAATTTAAAGATAAACACATCAAATGAAGATTCAAATTGTTGTGTAAATGTTCCATTTAATAACACAAAAGAATTACAAAGGAACTTAAGAAGATCAATACCACTTTGGTCAAGTGATGGTGTATCAGAAGAAACAGTGTAACTAACCCAGAATGAAGGCTCTGGTGAATACAAAAAAGTTTTTGTTTTAGCCATTGTAACTGTTGTAATTGGTTTTGAAAATTGAGAAAAAAACCCAATTAATGTTTGAAACAATCCAAGGTTTGCTAAATCTGAATATCTTGTTTGATTACTAAAAGAATATAATAATTTTTTTTCATCTTCTCCTTCTTTTGTTTTGATATTTGGGTTAAAGATAAGAAGTTGTTTTACTGAAAGATCTTTTTTGGAAGATGAAAGTAAATCCATTACTGACATTTTAATGAACTGATCATTTTTTAGTTCTTATTCTTTCTTTTCTATTTCATTCTGTAAACAATAAAAAAATACTAAATTTCAATTAAACTGAACTTATACTTTTTTATTTCTTGGAAGACAAATGATGGTTTCAGTAACCAATGACTGAAGAATTGAACTAATAAAACAATCATATTCAACACTATCAACAAGATCTAACACTGTTGGTAATGTTTTTGTATTTAATACTATTGTAGGAACTTTCTCTTTCTTTTTTTCTACTAATTTATTAAATGCGACAACCATTTGTTTATTCATTGAAATAAATTCTTTTACTTCTCGATTATTTCTTTTCAACCATTCCTTTTAATTAATCTTTCCTTTCGTTTCAAATTAAATTTTATAATCTTCTCATTTAATGATCTTATATTTTAGGCAACCCTCAAAAAGGGTTAAAAAAATGATACGTGGTGAATCATCAGAAAGTCTATCTTTTTAAATTATTTTTAAAAAGAATTCCAAAAATAGATATTAAAGGTATTGAGTGCAAATAAGTTGTTTCTGTTAAAAATATCCAATAAGGAATAATAAAAGAAAAAACTAAAAATCTAAAGAAGCCAAGGAATGGTTGATACAACAGGTATTAAAGATAAAATAATACTAATTTTAAAATATTATTTTGCATATTGTTTTGTTGCTTCAGTGTTTCTTCAAATTACAATTCTTCTAATAATGGATGTAATTTGTTTACCTTTTTACTTTATATACAGACCAATTTATCAGTGGATATTCCAACGAGTTACGGAAGTATATATGATGTATTTCCCATTAATATTTTATTATATAATAGGCAATAGAATTATTGAAACAGGAGATGAATTAGTTCCAAATGAAAATGCACTTTTCCTATGTAATCATACACATTTTTATGATTTCCTTCCAATAGTTATTGAAGCACCACGATGTGGTAGAATTGGTGCAATGAGATTTTTTATGAAAGAAGAGATAAGTAAGATACCATTAGTCGGGTTTGTTTTGATTAAAGAAAGTACTAATTAATTGTTTAAGTAATAACGATAATAACAATAAATTAGATTTGGATTTTATATGATGGATAGCGTTTATTTAAAAAGAAATTTCCAAGACGATAAACCTTATATTCTTGAAACATTCAAAAGATTCAGAAATAAATATTACCCATTTTGGTTAACTATTTATCCTGAAGGTACTCGTGTAAAACCTCAAAAATTAATAGAATCTCAACAGTATTGTAAAGACAATAATATTCCAATTTATGAAAATTTATTACACCCACGTCCAACTGGTGTTATTGTTACTTTACAACAACTAAGAAATGTTATTCCTTATGTTTATGATATAACACTAGGCTATCCTGTAAAACCATCACCGTCTTGTTGTTTCTTCCCAGGAGAAGGAATAACAATTCATATGAATATTCATAAAATTAGTATTAAAGATATTCCAGAGGATGAAGAATCATTAAAACGTTGGTTAGATGATTTATGGGTAGAAAAAGATAAGTTAATGAGTTATTTTAAAGAGCACAAAGAATTCCCAGGAGAACCTCGTAAACCACAATTTAAATTTACATGGGCAGATTTTACTGGTTATATGACACCAGAATGTTTTACAAAACCTTAAACTGACTATTTGTTATTGCTATTTATTTTTTTGTGTTATATATATGAAAAAATAAGAAACACAAAAACTAAAAATATGATGGTGATGAATCTTTTTTTATTTGTTGAATGGAATAAAAATAGATATTAATTTTATAGTAAAATAATAATAATAAAATAAGAAGAAAAAAAAGAACTGAGAACTAGAAAAAAGATTTAAATAATAGTATTAATGGAAGAAATACTCAATCAATTAGAAAGAGTTGAAACTAAAAGTGCTCAACAAATTGAGAAGATAGTTAGGTGTGTAGGAAAAATTGCTGATTATACACTTGATGATATAATATTTGATCCAAAGAAAGATTGGACCTTTGATTCTTTAAGTACTTGTTTTAGTAAATCAGAAAGAATGATAGAGAACAAGAAAGAAATAATATTAATAATCAAAGAACTTATCTGTTTATTGGATGACTTAAAAATTATTGAAGACAAAGAGCTCGATAATTTAGAAAATGATAGAAAAGATTTACTTGAAGCGATGGAAGAGAAAATTAGAGATATGAAACAATATGGAAATGATAGAAGAACTTCTAAACCACCAAGATCTCCAATTGATGACAGGAGAACAAGTCAACGAGATTATTCTAAAAGAATACCTGCAAGAGATAGAGAAGTTGTTAGAGAAGATAGTCATGACAGAATAGAAAGAAGAACTACTGAAGTACAAAAAGAAAAAGGAAAACAAATTGTATTAGAAATGAGATCTGTTATTGAGAATGAAATAGAAAATGTTGTAGCAAATAAAAGCCAAAAAATATTATTTGATACAAATACTGATGGATGGAAAATGGATAAATTTGTTGATTCTGTTACTGGAAAGAAAAGAATTGGTTTCTTAGTGTTTGATGAAATTGCACATGTATTTGGAGTATTTGTAAACGAAATACTTCAACCAGGACAATGGCTAGATGATTCTAAATTATTTTTATTTTCATATACTCCAGGACAAAATAAACCATTATTCTATTCAAATATCATGTTCTCTAATCATGATGGTAAATCAATCTTTAAATTAGAAGAGAAAAATGCAGAACACTTTTTCAGAGTAGCTAATGTTATTTATATTCAAAACGTTTCTGGTAAAAAAGGAAGTGTTATGTATCCAGAGTTAGAGGAATATTTCTTCCATGCAAATCCTAGATCTTTCTGTGGGTATGTTTATCCTGATAAATTCGAATCAACTAGAGTTATTGCACTTCAATTCTAAAATTAACCATATATAAGTATCATTTTTTACTTATTTGGTAATTAAAAGGGAACAACAAGAATTTACTTTCTTTATTCTCATTAAATCAATTACTTCTTTACTAAAAATGATTACATTTTCTCTTTAATCTTATTTATTAGTTATATATATTCATTATATATATTACATTAATAATATTTAATATTTCAAATACATTACTTTCAATGGTATTTAATTATTTATTAATTCTTTAAATATACCTTTACTTAATTAATATAATTACTTTAATAAATATATAAAAAATATTTATTTCACTTTTAATAACTCCTTTTTTTATTTATTAATTTGTATTTATGTAAAATAATAATTGAATTCTTTTTTTTGATTTATTTTTTTTCCTTTAAATATTATTTCTTTAATAAATAAAAAAGCCTTTAAATTATTTTTTAATTGCTAAATCATTAATCGTTTGTGGATTTGTAACAATAGAAAGTGTAGAGAAGAATGTAGGAGTTGGGAATGAATCATTTTTATCAATAATTTCTTTGATAAGTGTTGTTCTTCTTAAATATGGTTTTAAATAATCGTCTGGTGATATATTCAAACTACAACAATAATTGGCATTAATAGCTGTTTCTCTAACTAAAGCCGGAAGTACTTCTTT